TGACCATCTGGTAGGTGGGCGGCCCGCGGTCTTTTGACATCCCGTGGAATCCAGTCAGTAACAGCTCTAGTCCAACGGTCGTCTTTAAATCTCATTACGTGACCAGCCCATCTGATTTTCGACAACTTGGCAAATGAGACAGCGTCCCTGATCCTTGATCGTCGACGGATGTCAGAACTCCGGATTCTTTCTCTCATTTGAGTGAAATGTGATATTCCAAGCATAGCTCTTTCTATTCTTCTTTGGGAGACCTGAATAGCATTCTCATCTTGTTTGCGTAGGGCCCAGGTCTCTGAGGCATATGTTAATGCAGGAAGAACAGTGGAATCAAAGAGATGTGCCCGGAGTCGGAGGTTCTTCGTCCTCTTAGCTATTTCTTCGACGTTCTTGAAGGCGTTCCAAGCCGCTCTCTTCCTCCTGCGCAGCTCGGGTGCCAGGTCATTTGTCATGTTGACCTCTCGACCTAGGTACACATAGCTGTTGCATTCGGAGATGGTCATTCCAGTGAGAGCAAATGGGGCGTCAGGAACAAGGTGTTTCTCATAAACATTGTCTTCGTAAGATTCAGCTGTAGTCCTACCTTTCCACACTCACGGTCAAAGTCGGCTAGCATTTGTGCCGCTTGGCTGATGTTTGGTGTTATTAAAACAATGTCATCAGCAAAGCGGAGTGGTGTAGTTGCCGACCATCTATCTTCACTCCCATTCCTTCCCATTCCAGTTGTTGCATGATGTTCTCGAGGGTGGCGCTGGAGAGTTTCGGTGAAATGGTATCACCCTGCCGCACCCCTCTCTTGACATCAACGATCACTTCTTTGTAGAATGGTGAGATCCTGGTAGTGAATCCGCAATACAGCTCACGGAGGATCCTGATGTATTGGGCTTGAATGCCCTGATTGGCTAGGGCTTCAATGACCGCTTCCGTCTCAACAGAATCAAAGGCCTTCTTTAAATCAATGAACGTTAAACAGAGCAGCATCTTGAACTCCCGAGAAACCTCAATGAGCTTGGTTATCGTGTGGATATGGTCGATGGTGCTGAATCCTTTGCGGAACCCTGCTTGCTCGCATGGTTGTCCTTCATCTAGTGTTCTGCCAATCCTATTTAGGATGACTCGAGTGAACAACTTGTAGATGACAGACAATAGGCAGATCGGGTGATAGTTGCCAATGTCATGGATGTCTCCCTTCTTGAACAGTAGTACGGTCCTGCTGGTTTTCCATTGGGACGGAACCTTGCATTCAGACAGGTAGCGAGTGAAGAGCCGAGCCAGTGTATTGATGAGTACTGACGGCAGGTTCTTCAGGTGTTCAGGTCTGACCTTGTCTGGGCCGGGTGCTGTTTGTTTCTTTACCGACGAAATGGCGTGTCGGATTTCGGAAGGGAGAACGTTGGGAACGACATATTCATCCTGTGGAATTTGATATGTTGGCAAGTGGACATGGCTATCGAAGAGATTTGAGTAGAAGTCATGGATAATCTTCTCCATTGCCATTCTGGAGGATGTGATGGATCCATCAGGACGTCGGAGGGCAGTCATCTTGGTCTTGTAGTTGGCGAAGGACAGGCGGGCGTTATGAATACTTTTCCCGGCTTCTGCCGCATCTACCAGTACTTCTGCTCTTCTCTCTTTGAGGTCTTCCTTGATCGCATCTCTGCACTGCTTTGCGAGCTCGGATGTTAGCTTGTGGTTGCCTGAGGCATGCGCCAAACCACGCTGGCGAATTAGCTCAAGAGTTTTCGAAGATAGGCGATTTTTTGTGGCTATCTCTCTCTTGGCGTTCCTCGCACATTCATGGAGGTGTTGAACCAGTCGATCGTATTCCTCGTCAATGTTGTCAACAATGGTTATGGGCTGGGGCTGGAGTGATAGCACAGCAGGTAGGGCGTTTGCCTTGCACGTGGCCGACCCGGGTTCAATTCCCAGCATGCCATATGGTCCCCCAAGCACGGCCAGCAGTAATTCCTGAGTGCACGAACCAGGAGTAACCCCTGTGCATCGCTGGGTATGACCCAAAAAAGCAAAAAAAAAAATAAAAAATGTTTACGGGCTAAGAAAAAGAGAAAGTAATACACCCTTCGATGGGTGGATCTCCTAGCAGGATGAGATTTTGTCCTTGACTATCTCCTAGAAGAACTTCCCCTGAAGGAAGGGCTTTACATCTGTTCATTGTTTGTGATAATATTCAACCACACCTATGTATAATTGCTACACCTAAGCCTTCATGATTTCTTTATAACTAATGCTGTGAGACTTGGGACAAATGGTGACGATAACCAACCAACATGGTGGCCCCATTCCCTCTTTCGTGCAATGTTGACTGGCCAGGATAGGAAGGCAGCTCTTGGCTACTGAACACACATGTTGCACATCCACAATTAGAACTCATGGTATGAGTGGAAAAAAAAAAGATAATGACAAATCTTCAGAGATCAATTATAAAAATACAGAATTAGAAAAGGCAAAGTCAAAGAATTAAGAGGTATTGTAAGAAAACAAGAGGGAATCTCAACTCATGACAGTATAGCAGCCCACAATATCAACAAGAACTATAAGAGACTAAAGATAATTATAAAATTCTAAACAGAGGGGCTGGAGCAATAATACAGCAGGTAGGGCATTTGCCTTGCATGTGGTCAACCTGGATTGGATCCCTGGCACCTCCAGGAATGAACTCTGAGCACAGAGTTAGGAGTGGCACCCACATTCATTGCAGCTCTATTTTCATAATACTAAAGATAGGGAAACAATCTACAGTCCATCTAAATATGAAAGGATAAAGAAAATGTGGTGTATGTAGTTAGACACACACAATGGAATACTATTTGGAAACAGAAAGGATGAAATCCTGCCATTTTTGGTCATAAATATGGGCATTATGCTAAGTGAAGCCAGTTGGAGAAAGACAAATATTATATATCTCATTTATACAGAGAATCTAAACAAACCAAAACTCACAGAAAAAAAAATGATCAGATTTGTGGTTATCAGGGAATTGAGAGGAGAATTATGCAAAGGTAGTTAAAAGGTACAAATTTGAAGTTAAAGGTATGTAAGTCACTGTCACTGTTCTCCTGTTGTTCATCGATTTGCTCTAGCGGGCTCTGTAACATTGTGAGACTTGTTGTTACTGTGTTTGGCACTCGAATATGTCACAGGAAGCTTGCCAGGCTTTGCTGTGCGGGCGAGATACTCTCGGTAGCTTGCCAGGCTCTCTGAGAGGGGCGGAGGAATCGAAGGTGGAGGAATCAAACTCAGGTCGGCAGTATTTTTTTTTTTAATTTTTAAAAATTTTTTATGTAGGAGTATTGCTATTTAGGTATGTAAGTAATGATGATGATTATAGTACCAACACTGCTGTATGCTACCTCATTTTTAATATTTGAAAGTAGCAGAGACCAGAGAGGTAGTGCAGTGGTTAAGGTGCTTACCTGGCATGTGGCTGACCCTGGGTCAATTCCTGGCATCACACAGTCCCCAGAGTACCACCACATGTGACCCCTGAGCACAGAGTCAAAAAAAGTCCCTAAGCAACACCAGGTGTGGACCAAATTACACCCCACCAGCCAACAACAACAAAGAACAAAGATTACAGAAATTATATATAATTACAAGGAAATAAGTCTTTTTTGTTAACTACATTAAGATATATTAACTACACTTAGTGTGGTAACCATTTTGTAAAATATGTATGTCAAATGGATATGCTGTATATCTCAAACTTCTACAGAGTAGTATGTCAATTTTTAAAAACAAGCAGAAATAAATTTGATTAAATTAGCCATTTTTTGGGTCACACCTGGAGATGCACAGGGGTTACACCTGACTCTGCACTCAGGAATTACCACAGGCGGTGCTCAGGGACCATATGAGATGCTGGGAATCGAACTCAGTTTGGCTGTGTGCAAGGCAAATGCCCTACCCACTGTGCTATTGCTTCAGCCCCCACTTTTTAATTCTTCAAAGACCTCCTAATCACAGCATGAAGGTTCACCTTAATTTAACAGGTTGGCACTCAAAAAAACACTAGCCATTAAAAACAGGTTATGAAAAAAAGGCCAAGACCCAGAGACTATAAAACCCTGCTCCCTGAAGAGAACAGCATAGAGTCTCCTGCCTCCACACCTGGCTGTCCTCACCAGGGCCGCTTGGAGGAGGGTGGGTTGAGTTTCCCTCCCCACCCTCAGCAGAGCCCTGGCAGCTGAAGACCTCCGGTTCCAGCCACAGCCATGCTTAAGACCACTCTCCACACGTTCGGACAAACCTCCCACATGAAGGAACCGGCAAAGAAACCCAGGTGTGAGGGACCCAGAGCGTAGATCTTCAAGCCTGCTCAGATTGGGACTGGGGCCTCCTCCACCCAGATCCCCCATCTTCCAGTATGTAGGCATTTCACCCACCAACTGCCCCCGGCGCTGTGTAATCCCACCAACGGCCAAGACCCAGAGACTATAAAACCCTGCTCCCAGAAGTGCGCGGCCGCAAATGCTATAAGAATGACATCTTATTATCTAGTTTTTACTCTGGAGAACCTGGCAGGCTATCAAAAGTATCCTGCCCATACGGCAGAATCTGGCAAACTCCCCGTGGCGTATTCAAAATGCCAAAAACCAGTAACAATGATGGATCTCATTCTCCTGACCCTGAAAGAGCCTCAAATGTGGCAGTTTTAAAATCTCAGGGCTAGGATGAAGGAGACGTTACTGGGGCCTGCTTGAGGCAATCGATGAACAACAGGATGACAGTGATACAGTGATAAAAACAACTAATTAACAACACATTCTTAATCAAGAGTATGTGTCTCACCAATAAGATTAAATGCTTAGATTTTAAGCAAAATTACTTACATGGCTGATTTGATAAGGCTGTGACAGAAACACTAAATGTCTCAGTAAGTTATATAACACATAGGGAAAAATGGACTGTAAATTAGAAGCTAATAATTAAAAAAAAAGTTGACAATAAGCTGACAATAGCTCTTAAATTCCAGTAAGCACAACCTGAGAAACTCTTTCAAATAGTAGAGGCCTGTTTTTTAATCTTTCTTCTCTTTCTTCTAGTTCTCTCCGGTATTCTCTCATCCTTTCCCTTCCACTCTTTCTAAAATAAAAGAAATGGAATTTTAAAATAAAATTTTAAAAATGCATATATAATGTTTAGAAGACAAATCAGAAGCTAAATTATGAATACAGTTTACCTATTCAAATGTCCTCAACTTTTTTGGAATGTTGAATAAAGCTCCTAAACTCTGAGTACATGTTTTACTGTGCTGGGATTTTGAAGCTTCTTTTTTTTTTTTTTTTTTTTTTTTTTTTGCGTTTTTGGGTCACACCCGGCAATGCACAGGGGTTACTCCTGGCTCTGCACTCAGGAGTCACTCCTGGTGGTGCTTGGGGGACCATACGTGATACTGGGAACTGAACCCGGGTTGACTGCATGCAAGGCAAATGCCCTACCCTCTGTGCTATCGCTCCAGCCCCTGCTTCTAAAATCTTCAAGGTCAAATGTACTAAAAGGTTTCAAAACATCCAGAAGAAATGGAGAATGTTCTGTTCTCTTATTTATATGTATATAAAGCCAAAAAAATTTAGTTCAAATCAAATTTTTTTTTTTTTTGGTGGCAAAGTTAACTAAATGAGAACAGTTAAGGAGAAAATAGGAAATATGGGAATACAAAATACTGAGGACAAGGAATCAAGATACATACAATCACAGTAAGTACTTTAGATAAGATCCTAAATGAATTAAATTATGCTATTTTCTATAAATAAAATATATCAATTCTACCAAGATATTAAGATTTAGTGATTAAAGAAAATAATTGTACATTATAATAATTAAGTATACACAAGCTGATATTAATGAAAAGCTAGTTTATTTTCTAAGGATGAAGTTTAAAAAATTTTATTTGCATGGGGTCACATTGGGCAATGCCTTTTTCAGGGATCACTCCTGGCAGACTCAGGGAACCATATAGTGTCAGGGATCGAACCTGGTCAGCTACATGCAAGTGCCCTGAGTGCTGTACTAAAGCTCCAATCCCCATATGAAATTTATTTCTAAAAATTTCAATTTTTGGTTTTTTGTTTTTGAGCCATACCCAGAGACACGCACAGGTTACTCCTGGGTCTGCACTCAAGAATTGCCTCGACAGTGCTTGGGGCACCATATAGGATGCCAGAGATTGAACCCAGGGTGGCCATGGGCATGGGCAAGGCATGTGCTCTACCTGCCATATTATTGCTGCAGCCCCTATTTTTGCTGAAGTTCATCAAATTTGAAAATAAATAAAACTGATGTAACATTATAAATATGTAAAATATTTTAATGAATATTCACTGTAATTAAAAGTAAATATACAGACTTTTGGGGACCCATAAACAGATCAAAAATTACAAATCGTGGGGCTGGAGCAATATAGCACAGCGGGTAGGGTGTTTGCCTTGCACGCGGCCAAGCCAGGTTCGATTGCCAGCATCCCATACGATCCCCTGAGCATCGCCAGGGGTGATTCCTGAGTGCAGAGCCAGGAGGAACCCCTGTGCATCACCGGGTGTAACCCAAAACGCCAAAATAAAAAATTACAAATCATGTGGCCCTGAGCACTGTCAGGTGCAGACCTGGGAGCCCCTGCACTCCTGGGTCTGAGCAACACTCTATCACAGGGCCTACAAAGCTGCTGCAGTGATTCTTAGGCCCCCTCCCCAAACTTTATAAATCATATTGCTTACCTGATTTGGGGGGGATATATTTTCCTACCTAAATATTAATTTTCTGGGACACTGGTTTTTAAACTTTGTATTGCAGAATTCTAGAGTTCTGGAAAGGAGTTCTGTGAATATTTTTATTTTTTAATATTAAGATTGTAACAAAATGCAACACATGGCAGTGCATATTAACACAAGTGTTAACTGACACAACATGTAATTGATGCCCGTTAACATTGTTGTGTTAAACTGTGCTACCAGATTTCCTGCAGACCTTAGAACAAAGCTCCCAGGCATTTCATCTTATTGAGTAATGTTCTGAGATTTCATAGCAAGCTGCTTGAAAAAAAAAAGTTTTGCTTATGTGAGTCATGATTTTTCTCAATATTGTGTATGGGGACCGGAGCGATAGCACAGCGGTAGGGCATTTGCCTTGCACACAGCCAACCCGGATTCAATTTCTCTGTCCCTCTCGAAGAGCCTGGCAAGCTACCAAAAGTATCTCGTCTGCACAGCAAAGCCTGGCAAGCTACCTGTGACGTATTCGATATACCAAAAAGAGTAACAACAAGTCTCATAATGGAGATTTTATTGGTATTCGCTCGAGCAAATCGATGAACAACAGTAGGACAGTACTATAGTGCTATTGTGTGCAGGGCCAGAGAGGTAGCTGAGTGGGCCAACAGCAAGTGCTGAGGCAGGAGCACAGCTCCTGATACTGCCAGGTTTGGGACCCCTCCCCTTCCTAATATATCTATATTGTACTGCTCAATTAAAAATAATATAAATTAGGGGCCAGAAATGTAGGTAAAGGAATAGCACACAACTCACATGTATAAGGCCACTGCTAGGAGTGGCCTCCACAACAATAAAAAAATTTAGAATAATTTAAGATTTAAATTACATATAATATAAAATTATAAATATCAACTATGGCCTAAATATAAGATTTTTCTGTTCAATCACATGGCCTCACAGTCCTTACTATGAGGTGAATATACATATTGGTTCCCATTATCAGATCAGCAAATGTGAGTATGAGTGTGCACATTTGTGTGTGTTGAGTAAAGTGACTGATAATAACATGAATCTGAAAATTTAAATACTAAGTCTTAATATGTCCATGTATCTGCCTCCATGGATTTAAAAAAGAAAGTCTGAAAACCAATGATGGGGAAGATCAGAATGTTTTCATGATACCTTAGAGATTTTACTCTGGATTTAGACACTTGAGCTAAACTTTGATGAGAGTCATAAGCCTTAGCCCGGTTTATCAGAAGTTTCTGCAGTTCTTTCATTCTTTGCTTCTGCTTAGTTAGGATCCGATTTCTGTCTTCTTCCAACATTTTCTTTTCCTCAAGTGATCTCCTGAGGGCAACAAACTATGGCTTAATTCACTTTAAGCCAGTGAGAATTAAGCCAAAGATTTAACACAGGATAACTCAAAGGTTAGGGATGGGGACGAAGCAGACTTTCGAATGATGAAATGAAATCAATATGCTGACTACAACCTTTTCCATCCCCAAAGATTCATAAAATGAAAAAGACATTCTTTTCTTAGAGGAATACCCGGACAAAAGGCTCTACATTATACATTAAACATATGTAACCATGTCTTCATATTTTCAAATTCACCAACCTAAAGTCTACAGAATTGCATGTACCATTTTAGCATGCAATATAATCTTCAACAGAAGATTAGTCAGTACTGTATCCTAGTCCCTTACCTTATGGCTTGTTCTCTTCCTCTGGAAGAGATCGTGGGCATTGGAGGGTTGTAATTAGAAGGCACGAACTTTGCATTTGCACTTCTGGCTCCTGACCTGCGTCTTAGAGACTGAGAAAGCTCACATACATGTTTTAGATTTTGTTCATCTGCCTCAACGTGTGTAAATTTGTTTTCTCTTTTAGAGACTGTGAGAAGTGGTGCATAAGGATATGATTGACAGTACTTTAGGTGACTATAATACTTCTGTTCTGAGAGGTGTTTCTGATCTGTCTCAGGAGGGTCTTCAAAATTAGCAGTCTGGTATTTAATCTTGTGCTTATTCAACTTTTCAACCTTTGCAGTATTTTTGGGTTTCCTTGTAGTCAAACTGCCAAGCACTAGCCTACTAGCTACAGGAAATGAATACTGTAACCTATCTAGGCTTCCCAGCTCTGGGTTTTGCTGAAACTCTTCTTTGAATAAGTCATTGGCAGATGAACCATAAGTAGATCGAGGTACAGGTTTTGCCTTAAATTGATTTGTCTTTTTTTTACACTTCAAAAAGTCTCTCAGCTGCTTTTCCCTGATTGCTTGCTTCTGTTCTTCCCTTACAACAAACTTAAATGGCTTTAATGAGGCCAAAAGAGCTTCTTTGTTTTTCTCCTTCATATACCTCCTCCGTTCTTCATTTTGTTTAACTATCTCACGATAAGAAGGGAAAAAGATAAATGAAGGAACTGGGTTGGCTCGGAATTTCTTTTTACATTCTAAATCTTCTTGAGTTTGTGTAATTATTTTGTGTAATGCTTCAAGTTCTGATTTAAATTTCATGCTCTGTTCTTTTTTCTTCTCTTCCCTAATTGTCATCTGAAAAGGTTCAGGTACTGTAATCTTTGACACCCATGCTTTTGGTTTCTTCTTAATTTTTTCAGATGTTGGGAAGTCAGCACTTTTAGACTGAATATAATCTTCAACAGAAAAGTTCCTCCACATGTTGTTGATGAGCTCCTTAGCATAATTCATCTCTTCCTTTTTCTGGGGATATACTGTTTTGAAATCAGGCAACTCATCTTCAGAGGAAGACATAACCATGGAAGGAGACCGACATATATCAAGCTCTGAAAGTGATGTCACTAATGAGACAGGCTGATAGTTATTTTCTGATAAAGACCTGTGTGGGAAAAATAATTACCCTTTCAGTTTTATGAATATAAAAGTTAGGAATTAAGTGTTTTCTAAGTTTAGTCAGAAGGCAGGGACTGGATCGGGCTTGCAAAAAGGATCCTTTTGGGGCCAGAGAGTTAGTACAGTGGGCAGGGCACTTGACTTGCATGCAATGGACCGAGGTTTGATGCCCAGTACTGCACTGCAGTACTGTGCAATGCCAGGAGTGATATCTGAGCAGAGCCAGGAATAAGCACTGTACTGTGGATATGGCCCCAAAGAAAACATGATCCTTTTTACTTAGAAGAGTCCTAGGAGATTCCTGTTAATTATCAATTTTGACTCCCTCAGGAACAGAGTAATAGCAGAGCAGGTAAGACACTTGCCTTGCACGCAGCTGACCAAGGTTCTATCCCCAGTATCCTATACGGTCTCCCAGGCCCCATCATATATGGTTCCAAAACCAAACCAAACCAAAAGTTTGACTCCTCTTTTACAAGGGCGGGCGGTGGAATCCTGAGACCAGAGGTTCTTCATGTTCAACCTTTCTTGAATTCTCCATAGTTTTTCAGAATTACTGTTGTGAAGCATGCCTGTTCATGCCATTCCCCTTCAAACTTTTACATGTTTTCCATTCTACAAAGTTAAGTCCAGAGTCACAAAGACAGTGCACTGGTAAGGCACTTGCTTTGTATGTTGCTGACTCAGGTTTGATCCATGGCACCATACAGTCACCAGAGGACTGCCAGGAGTGATCCCTGAGTGCAGAGCCAAGAATAAGCACTGAAGCCTGACAGATGTGACTCCAAAACAAACAAAAACAAAGTCTTAATTATAAAGTCATTGAAAACTAGACCCTCCTACCTTTTCCATTTCAGCTCTCTCCTGTCTAGCTGCAATCACCATCCTTAAGTCAAACACAATCAGATGCAGTTCCATGGGAACACTGATTGCTCATGCTACCACACCTGGGATGGAGTGATAGCATAACGGGTAGGGTGTTTGCCTTGCATGTGGCCAACTTGGGCTCAATTCCTCTGTCCCTCCAGAAGAGCCCAGCAAGCTACTGAAAGTATTCCACCCACACGGCAAAGCCTGGCAAGCTCCCCATGGCATATCTGATATATCAAAAAGAGTAACAATTCCCTTCTGCCTTCTCCCCTCTGGAAAGAAAGATGGCAGCTGCATGGGAGCCTTGTGGAGAGCCAGGTATGAGCCAGTGGTGATGGGGCGACCAAAACCTCATGGGAAGGGGGGCGCTCCGGGCTTGTACTTCACGCCCTACCGAGGTCACCAGTTGCCCCCCACGAGTGGCTCTCCGGCACGGCCACGGCCCCAGAAGCACAAGGACTTAATGCAGAACCCAGCAGCTTGGAGCAGAAAAGTGAACGGACTATGCGTTAATCCACGCCACCGTGTCTGCCCGGCGGGGAAAGGGTGTTGGTCCCTTCCGCCTTCTCCCCTCTGGAAAGAAAAATGGCAGCCGCATGGGAGCCTTGTGGAGAGCCAGGTATGAGCCGGTGGTGATGGGGCGACTAAAACCTCATGGGAAGGGGGGCATTTCCGGCTCGTCCTTCACGCCCTACTGAGGTCACCAGTTGCCCCCCACGAGCGGCTCTCGGGCATGGCCATGACTCCAGAGCACAGAAACCAATCTCTTAATTATCTGACTCTCAGTAGAAATACTTCCAGGGTTAATAAGTAAAATAGCAGAAATCCAAAACCATGCGACAACATTTAATTCTTGAACCCAGCCTTAAAAGCAAATCATTTCACAATGCTTTTTCGGCAGGTCTGATTTGGGGGGGGTAAACTCTAAATAATAATGGTGCATCTTTTATCGAAACAATGAATCTAGTCAAAGTAGATAGAGTGTTAACTAGAATTCATCTGCCTCACAGGCATTGGGAGAGGTGGGGGGTGGGGGTTTATTGAGGTTCTTCATGGTGAAAAATAAGTATTGGTAAAGGGAAATGTGTTTGATATTTGCATGACCGAGACCTAAACCTGAAAGCTTTGTAACTTTTCCCACAGTGATTCAATAAATAAATAAATTATATATAAAAAAAAGAGTAACAACAAGTCTCACAATGGAGACATTGCTGGTGCCCGCTCAAGCAAATCAATGAACAACAGGAGGACATTGCTACAGTGCTACCACACCTTTGCACACATAGTTTCTGGGCTTGGATGGCTATTCCTTTCTTACTGTACCTTCTTTAAGTCTGAACTCGGGGTCCTGGAGATAGAGTGGAGGGGTAGGTACCTGACATAGGGTAGACCCTGGTTTGATCCCATATACCACATATGGTTCCTTGAGCACCAAAAGGGTCACTCCTGAGCAGAGAGCCAGGAACAGCCACTGCACAAACGAGGTTGGGTTCCAAAACCCAAACAAACAACAAAAGAAGACAACTCAAATATGACACTTCAATATAAAATTCCTGCCTGTGAAAATTCTTGACATGGTCAAATGCTTCTTTCTCAGTATGTTAAAGCTCTCTTACAGCCTAGTATATTGCAAATTTTGGTTCTCAAACTTTGGTATTCTTGAGGACATTTTGATTTCTGACCCTTTACTGACCAGGCAAGGTCTTGCCCACAAGGGATGCTCAGTCAGCCCTAAGAGGATGAGTTAGAAAACTGTTTCAGGAGTCTGAGGATAGCCCATGCAAAGTGCCTGCCTTGCAAGATTATGACCACAAGTTTCCAGGTGCCAATGTCGCCCAACATGTACCAAGCTCAATCCCAGCAACCCTGGAATTTGGGATCCCCAATATCCAGCAAAACATTTGATCTTTGTGCCACAACCAAGTATGTGGGCACTGCAAGTAAAGTGAGCGACCCCTGGCAAGCACCACCACATAAAGTGAATGTGCATGATGTTTAACCCACAGCAAGGATGTGTGCAAGCACCACAACCAAATGTGTGACCATTGGTGAGCACTGTTGCCAAAATGTGGTGTGAGCACCACAACTAAAGGATGCGACCCACTGTGAGCAAATGGACACTCCCTCACCAGGGTGTGAGAGTTCTGGTCACTGCCATGCAAAAATACCACAAAAACGGGAAGGGAAGGGGAATAAATTTTTTTAAAAAAATTTACTTAAAGTTTCAAAAAAAGTGAATTTAAAGTAGAGAAGGATCTTGAAATTAGACTATTTTGAAAATCTGAATCAGATTTATGTTTTAGTCCTGAGCTCTCTCTTCTGTATCTCTGATAAACTCAATGTTGCGGCTAAAGTGACAACACAGCAGGTAGGGCACTTATCTGGTAAATGGTCTTCCTGAATTAGATACTCAGCACCCCATATGGCCCTCTAAGCCTACAAGGAGCACAGCAGTATGCCCTGAGCACAACCAGTTGTAACCCCAAAACAAATAAGAAAAGCTCAGGGTCGGAGCAATAGGACAGCAGGTAGGGCATTTGCCTTGCACATGGCTGACCAGGGTTTGATCCTTGGCATCCCATATGGTCCCCCGAGTACTGCCAGGAGCAATTTCTAAGTGCAGAAGCAGCAGTAGCCCCTGCACATCACTGGGTGTGACCCCCCCAAAAAAATCCCTAAACAAACCAAAAACAAAAGAACCAAAAACAAGAAAGCCTCCAAAAATAAATCCAGTGTTGACCTACATTCAATTAAAAATGTTTTTAAATTTTCATTTTTAATTTAAAAATTTTATAATAAAGGACTTCTAAAATTAAAATTTAGGGCTGGGGAGATGGCTCAAAGGACCAGAGCACAGGGGTGCCCCGTGTCTGCCTCTGGAACCACATGGTTCCCCAGAGTATGGCTGAGAGTAAGGAGAGTTTCCACTAACACCACCAGGTATGACCTGATTCCAAAGCCAAAAAATAAAATTAAATTAAATATTCTATCATTTAAGTCATCCCACACAAACTATACTGGTTCATGTCTGCAGTGGTGTAAGAAAAAAAAACAGATGGCAGAGGGCCAGAGAGATAGTACAGAGAATACTGCATTTGCAGGCAGCCTACCCAGGTCTGATACCCAACATCCTATATGGTCCCTGAGCACCACCAGGACTAATTCCTCAGTGCAGAGCCAGGAGTGACCCTTGAGTATTGCTGGGTATGACCCCGACGCCCCAAAAAAGAATAAAATCCAGATGCCACCCAAAGGCCCTCAAAGCAAGAAGCTGCCTCATAGCTTCATAAGTTATAATGCATTTAAAACAAGCCCTCATCTCTCTGTATTATTAAGAGTACAAAAGGATATTTAAGAAGAAATATTCTGAAATAACTTTATTCAACACTTTGAATCACACATTTCATACTACACAAATAACACAAACTTACCCAGAAGAGGCACTACAGGTGTTTTCCCGGATGATCAATGGCTGAACCTCCTTGAATCTTAATTTATTCTGGTCCATTCTCTCTAACTTTGCCATAGTTTCTATGTGGGCAGTCTTCAGTTCTTTTAGTTTTCTGAAATACTCTTCATTAGAGTGGTAAATATCAGCAAAGTCTACAAAATCCTCAGGGATTATTTGTGTTTCACCCAAGCTAGAAGTGTTGGTGTTAAAATCAACCTGGAAAAAGTGGGGGAAATTTCTGTTATTTTAGTGTTTGCAACTGAAAGACAAATGAAAGGGTTGGAAAGATAGAACCAGGGTTAAGGCACTTGCCCTGTACCTGACTGGCCCTAGTTTAATCCTCAGCAGGCATATGGTCCCCTGAGTCCCACCAGGAGTGATCTTTGAGCACAGGGCCAGGGGTAAGCCTTGGGCACTTTCTTTCCCAAAAGAAAGAAAGAAAAAGAAAAACTGACAGTTTCCTCATATTATCTCTTAAAGAGTTCACTTAATTTTGATTATATGTTACTTAAGGCTGGAGCGATAGCACAGCAAGTGGGGCGTTTGCCTTGCACGCAGCCAACCCAGGTTTGATTCCTCCTTGAAATAACTTTATTCAACGCTTTGAATCACACATTTTATTTGAATAAACTCTGAATCACACATTTTATTTTCTCCTTGGAAAGCCCGGCAAGCTACCGAGAGTATCCCGCCCGCATGGTAGAACCTGGCAAGCTCCCCATGGTGTATTTGATATGCCAAAAAGAGTAACAACAAGTCTCACAATGGAGATGTTGCTGGTGCCCACTTGAGCAAATCGATGGACAATGGGAGGACAGTGCTATATGTTACTTATAACCTACATACATGTAATAAATTATAAATTAAATGAGGGCAAAAATTTTCCCCCTAAAAATATTTTGTTAATAAGAGAGAAAACAATTTATCAGAAAATAAATGCTAGTTAATCCATTGTATAAAGGAAGATGAGACTCCCCAGTCATCAGCTTATCCATGTAATAGGATAAAGTCAAGCCACATTTTATAAAAAAAACCCTATTGTGTTGTAAGTTTTAACTGAGATGAAGAACAAGTTCCACCTGCTGCAAACAAAGCAGCTACAGCCCAATGGCCTATCCCTGAGTGCCTGCAGTATGCCGTGGAGGGAGTGCCCGGAAGTATACAGTGGCAGCAAGTGAGGGAGTGGGCACAGGGAAATCAAGGGAAGCAGATTCTCAGTGGCTCATTAAGGAACCTGGGAGAAACCCTGGGGAAGAGGGTCACAGAAGGGATCAAGAAGACATGGGAAAGGTAGAAATGACCTTCCTGTGGATAACAGGAGCAAGAGCTCCAAAAAGCAACAGGGACTTTGGGAATGGCAAGAAAATGCTGAAACGATAGTACAACAGGTAGGGTGTTATCCCTGCACATGGCCAACTGAGGTTTGATCCCCGGAATCCCATACTGTCCCTTGGGCACCATCAGGAATGATTCCTGAGTGCAGCAGAGCCAGGAGTAAGCTCTGAGTACCACCAGGTGTGACCAATTAAAAAAAAAAATCTGTACCTGTGAGGAGCCTGATGGCACCGTCAGACTTTCAGATACCCCCAAATTGCTGCTGTGCCTTTGGCCAGAGCCCAAAAACTTGGGGGAAAGTTCACCAAGAAAGTAAACGGCCAAAAGTTAGGAATGCGGGAGACACACCCACAAACCACCTCGGGCTCAGCTATATAATTGGAGGCATGGCCTCTCTGGTTCCTGATCGAACTGCTTAATGGCCATGATCCCAGAGACTCAGAAATGAATCTCGGAACCCAAAGGCTTTTGGCAGAAATACGTCCTGCTCCTGCAGTAGGTTACTGGGGCTGGGCCACTCCAGGTGGAAATAGGTTCTGTGTCTTGGCCTGTTCCCCCTGGCGGCTCGGTGACCACCATCCTTCAGAGGCCACTGGATAGTCAGGTTCGGGCCTGCAGTTACGAGACACATGGGGCCTCACCAGATGGGGGTGGAACCGGCCATTCCTCCTCATCCCAACGAGACCCCAAGTCGCCACCTACAAACGGCCTCTCTGGCTCCTGATCAAGTTGATTAACGGCCATGATCCCAGAGACTCAGAAACAAATCCCAAAACCCAGCGGCTTTTGGCAGAAATGCATCTGGACCACATACAAGGTGGCCGCCACCTCAGAGCTTATAGGAAAGCCAGGTATGAGCCGGCGGTGACAAGGCAACTGCAGTCTCATGGGAAGGAGTACTGTACCGGCTCGTCCTTCACGCCCTACTGAGGTCACGAGTTGCCCCCTACAGCGGCTCCCTTGCACGACCATGGCTCTAGAGGCAAAAGGACTTAATCCAGAACCCGGCAGCTTGTGGCAAAAAAGTGAATGGACCATGTGTTAAACTACGGTGCCATACCTCCCTGGGAAGGAAACAGTGTTGCTCCCTTCCACCTTTTTCCCCCTGTCAGCAAGGCGGCTGCCGCCTCAGAGCTTATAGGAAAGCCAGGTATGAGCCAGCGGTGACGGAGCAACTGCAGTCTCATGGGAAGGGGGCGGTACCAGCCCGTCCTTCACGCCCTACTGAGGTTATGAGTTGCCCCCCACGAGTGGCTCTACAGCACGGCCATGGCTCCAGAGGCAAAAGGACTTAATCCAGAGCCCGGCAGCTTGCGGCAAAGTGATTGGATCATGCGTTAAACTACGGTGCCAAGTCTCCCTGGAAGGTACTGGCTCGTCCTTCACGCCCTACGGAGGTTACGAGTTGCCCCCCCCACAAGTGGCTCTACAGCACAACCATAACACCAGATGCACAGAAACCAATCTCCTAACTATCTGGCTCTTTGCAGAAATCCAAAATCATTATATGATTCTCATAACCAGCTACAGAAAACAAAGTATTTCACAATGCCTTTTCAGCAATTCTGATTGTTGGGGGGGGGGGCATTCTAAACAATAATGGTGCATCTTTTGTCGAAATGATGAATGTAATCAATGTAGAGAAGAGTTAAGTAGAAATCATCTGCCTCACAGGCATTGGGTGGGATGGGAGGGGGGTATATTGGGATTCTTGGTGGTGAAATGTGAGTACTGGTGAAGGGAAAGGTGTTTGATCATTGTATGACTGAAACTTAAACCTGAAAACTTAGTAACTTTTCCCACAGTGATTCAATAAATAAATATAAGACTAAAAATAAATAAATAAAACTATGAAAAAAAAAGGTGGAGTTCATGCCCAATTCAATCAGCTAATCAGTGGCTGAAAAAATAGCAGTACTCCTACATAAGAAAAAAAAAAAAGCAAAACCAAAACCAAAAACCAAAAACAACCTCTTGAGGAGGGCAAATAATGTAGTGATTATAATTGTAGGTAAAGTCCAGAGCTCTAATCTTTTCCTCCCTCACTCCTGTCACAGGCCTCCACATTTTTTAATGGTTTGTTTTTCATAGCTCTCTTCTTTGTTTTTGGGTTACTCCCTGCAGCAGTCTGGACTCACCCCTAGTGGGAATTAGGGGACCATACACAGCACCAAGTTTTGAACCATGCCTGGCTGTGCTCACTTTCAAGACAAGTGACTCACCCACCCATCCCTGTACCATCTCTCTGTCCCCTCCACTATCACTCTGCCATAGATCTTTTAACTAAAGTTGCTAAAGAAGTAAAACCTGATTTTTTCCATATGGACTTTAACATTTTCTGAAATTAAGGTACTATGGAAGGCAACAACAGATCATGATTTTAAATTCTACCTACCGCCTGAAAGATTCAAGATAAAAAAAAAAAAGGATATTCTCCACAGAAAAATTAAAGATAAAATCTGATGAGATCCTAGAAAATAATTCTGACTACCTGTTTCCAACTGAAAAAATTCAGAAGAGTTCATTGTATATAATGATTACTGATAGGGTGGTGTTTTAAAAGCAGAATTAAAACAATGTACAAATAGTGTTGTACCACTTAACTTGGAGAAAACAAATGAAGGAAAACAAGTTTTCTTCACTATAATTGGTTTGCAAAAATTGTATTATCAACAAATTGTTTATGCAGAGGACTGCATTTCATATGACATGCTTCTGTATAGCACATTCTCCATTAAGAACATTTTCTGATATCTTCTTTACTTTTTTTTATGTAGGAGTATTGCTATTTATTCAGCCATTGATTAGACTGATTGAATTGGGCATGAACTACACCTTACTTTTTTTTTTCCCCCTTTTTACAATTTTATTTATTGAATCACCGTGAGAGCAGTTACAAAGCTTTAGGGTTTAAGTCTCGGTCATACAATGAAACACCTGTACATTTACCAGTGCACATTTTCTACCACCAAAAACCACAGTATAACCCCCATCCTACACCCTCCCCTACCTGTGGGACAGATGATTTCCACATTACTCTCTCTCTACTTTGATTACATTCAATATTTGGACACCAGACCCATTATTATTATTTGGGATTTTACCCCAACACTCAGATCTGCCAAAAAGGCACCAGTAGACAATTTGTATTCTACCGCTGGTTATGAATAACATACAATGTCCTGCGGCTGCAGCAGTGGCCACGTGATTTTGGAATTTAGAAACTTTAACAATTAAATCAAGAGGGATTTCTGCCCAAACCTGCTGGGTTCTGAGATTTGTTCCTCAGTCTCTTGGATCATGGTCATTGAGCAGCTTGATCAGGAGCCAGAGAGGCCGTTTGTGGGCGGTGACTCGGGAATCTCGTTGGGGCAGGGAGGAAAGGGTCAGCTCCACTCCCATCCTGTAAGGCCTCACGTGTCTTGTCACTGATGACCCAAACCCGACTGTACAATGGCCTCTAGAAGATGGCAGCCATGAGCCACCAAGGGGGAGCAGGCAGAGGGACAGCACCTTTTCTCCCCTGGGGTGGCCCAGAGACAGTAACCTACTGCAGGGACCGGAAGCATTTCTGCCAAAAGCTGCTAGGTTTCGAGATTTGTTTGTGAGTCTCTGGGATCATGGCCATTAAGCAGCTTGATCAGGAGCCAGAGAGGCCGTTCATGGGCAGTGACTCGGAGTCTCATTGGGGCGGGGAGGACAGGACCGGCTCCACCTCCATCCTGTGAGGCCCCATGTGTCTCATCACTGTGGGCCAAAACCTGACTGTCCAGTGGTATCTGGAGGATGGCAGCCACTGAGCTGCTAGGGGGAACAGGCCAAGGCATGAAACCTATTCCCACCTGGGGTGGCCCAGCGCTGGTAACCTACTGCAGGGACCG